TTGTTTTATTTATTTTTATGTGTAATGTAATCCAAAACAGATGAGAATGTATTTGTTTTCAGTTGATTCTCAAATCACTTCAGAAATGATCAAATCTTGTGTATCTTTCTGCACTGTTCAAAGGCTACACTGGTAGTTTGAAAGAGACAAAAGATATCTAATGAACACTGCCATTCCTCTGGGGAAAAGCTCTACCCATCTAACAGCTATTTTAAGATGTTGAAGATGCATTACCACAGGCTGCAATTACTCTGTGAATTCCAATTTGAAATGAAGTATCATCTCTCAAGGGTGTAATCCTAGGGTCCCATTTCCTTTGCCAGGCAAAGTAAACCATTTCTTTAACTATTAAGGCCACTGTAGGCAATCTCAGACAATCAAAGATCCTCTTCATTATTAAGTAAACAAATTATCTTTAAAAAATAGGTAATTTAAAATTCTCAAAAACAATAACCTAAAGTGATAACAAGAGCACACCAGCCACACATAATCACTAATTATGGTCAAAGTTGAATAAAGATCACATTTACAAATGGAGATCCTTTAAGCATCACATCTATGTAGTACTGAAAGAAATATAGCTATGATCTTTGGAACTTTGAATGAGCTTTTATAAACCAATAGTGCCATGTCTTTTTGCAATAATTAATATTTACTGCATTTGTCTTCTTCTAACATTAATTTTTGCAATACCTTAATGCCTTTTTCAATCAAAAAGGTAAAAGCTCCAGACCTAAATGGCCTCTCAGCTTTTAGTCCTTATCCATGGTCTTCATCTCCTTCAAAGGAGACCACAGGAGACCCTGGTCTGTCCAACCACATTGTATTGATAGGCTCAGATAGCATGTATATCTGGCATTTTATTGATTTTTATTATAAGTTAAATAATAAACTTATAGAAAAGTATCTCCTCTATATTTTCTTTTTTGTTTCTTTTGTCTCTCCAACTGTAACAAGGTTTCATCAATTCTGTTCAAAGGAAAAATTAAACAATAGCTCTCAAAAATAAATTAAAGTAATCACCATTGCAAAGGTGATAGAACTGACCTGCATAGAGACAAATGTTTTACCTGTGTCTTCTGATTGTGAACTTTTATTCACTTGGATCTCTTCAAGTTCCTTCAGTCCCTTGCAATTAAGAAAGTTTTCTTGAATGATAACATTATTTTTTCTATCCCAGAGTGACTACCTGAGGTCGGGTGGCCATCCTCTCTTATATGGGTTACTACACATTTTCTAACTGGCTTCCCAGGTCCTAGCTATGCTCCCTCTTCCTACCTGGTAACCTATTCTCTACACATCAGTCCTGATGAGAACTTCAAATTCTCTAACCAGTTTATTGAGCCTTTCAAATTCTAGTCTGTACCCATACCGGCAGCTTTGTCACTCCATACTCCCTGCTTATAATAGAACACACCATGTTCTCTTTCTCTATAGGTTTGCAGATATTGTGCTGCAGTCTACCTAAATACCCTTGCCTCTTCTCATTTCTTCGTCAAACCCTTAAACATCTTTGAGGTCTCAGCATAACTTTTGTTTATTTTATCATGCTTTTCTAGACCTCTACTCTGAGAAGTATTCAACATATATTTTTTCATCAGAGTATTCATCACATTTTACATTGTACAATTAATATTTCCTCTCCAGTTGAGGGTGGGGCCATATTTGTCTTGCACACCATTTTATAACTAATACACAATGTTTACAGAATAAATTACTAATTAGTTGGGTGCAAGGATGAATGAATAAATAGATCTTTTAAATGTGTGGTGTTAAGATGGCTCTTTGAGAAAAGTTCGGAGACAAAGGAACTTGTATTTCCCTTGTTTGCATCAATATAGTTGCCTTATCAATGGTTTTGCTTTCCATGGTTTCAGTTGCCTGCAGTCAACTATGGTCTGAAAATGTTAAATGACAAATTCCAGAACTAAACAATTCATAAATTTTAAATTTTGCACCATTCTAAGTAGCACGAGGAAATTTCTTGTAGTCTTTCTTCCTTCCACCCAGGATGTGAATTATTCATTGGTCCAGCATCTCCACTCTGTATAAAGTCATCTGCCCACCTGTCACTTTGTATCTGTCTCAGTTATAGAATCAACTGTCATAGTATTGCATCCCTTGTGTTCCAGTGACCCTTATTTTATTTAATAATGACCCCAAAGCACAAGACTATTGATGCCAACAATTAAGCTAAAGTGCTTGTTATGTATTGTCAGAAGTCAATAGGAGCCTTAACACTTCATCAAAATGCCTATGGCATTTGCCTCACTTCACCTCCTCACATAGGCATTTTATTATCTTACATCATCTACTATAATAAGGGTGAGAACAGTTCAACAAGATATTTTGATAGAGAGAACACATTTGCATAACTTTTATTACAGTATATTGTCATAATTGTTCTATTTTATTACTAGTTATTGTTGTTAATCTCTTACTGTTCCTAATGTATAAATTAAATTTTATCGTAGGTATGTATAGGACAAACCATAGCATTTATAGGGTTTGGCACTATCTGCAGTTTCGGGCATCCACTGGGGCTCATGGAATATATCTCCTATGTGTATAAGAGAATTCTATAGGGGTAAATGCTTGACTACTTTCCAATTCAGAAGTTCATGTCATTGACAAACTAATAAGTATTAGTTTATTCTGACATAAATATTAGTTAATATTTTCATTTATTCAATGGGTAAATCAAAAGGAAAAAAATGAAGATGTGTGTGACAACTTCATTCATTCATCAATGATGTGAGGATTAATTTGCTGAATCAATAATAATACTGAAAGAATATTTCTTCAATCTTTTGTGCTGTTCTCAATGAATGGCTATAGACATGATACCCATTTAAGTTTAATATGCATTAATATTTTCTCTATTACATTCTAAAGTCTAGGTAATCAAGAAAGTAATATATCTAATCCTGATGGAGTAAGGTGTGGGAGGAGCATTTGCCAATTTCTGTGGTGTAAATATTTCCATCATGATCAACAGCAGTCCTTGCTTCCTATTTTAACCTCCTCACCAATTCAGCTTAACAAAGACCAGTTTTTTTATATTAACTCACTTTAGAGGAAGCTCATATAAATATTAATTAGGCACCTTCTCTATATTGCTCACATTTGGTACTAACTTCAATGTATTATATTAAAACCAAAACGAAGCTGTGAAGTTCTTTGCTTGTTATTCTTTGGAACCACCCAGACTTAGTAAATTCTATACTAACTGTTGCAGTTACCTGCCCAGACCTGCTCACTTCAGAACTGAAGCATTCATTCCTCTGGCTACTGAGGATGTTGGTAGTCAAAAGTTCTCAGCTGAGTCTCGCTCCAGGAATTGTTCTTATCTAAACAAAGCTACCTATTCCAAGATCACTCCTCTTCCCCTATGACATCTTGTAAGAAATGACAGGTCACTTCAGGTTTCTGTGGACCTAGCCCCCTTTCTTTGATTTGGGACAATTCTATAGGGCCATTCCAACTCCAGTGCTCTCTGAGGGATCTCCTGAGGTTTCTAATGCAACTGTACTACCCTTCAAGTTTTCTCTCTACCCAGTTCTGCTTCCTTAACTCCTCAATCAACTTATGCACACAAAACTACACCTCAAGGTCTGTTCCTTGGGGAATCCCAACATACTGCAGCCCTCAATATTGTGTTATGATTTTCAATGCAAAAAATTTAATATAACCTCATGCCAAAGGATGCATTGTGAGAATTATAAAAATAAAAAAATAAAATAAAAACCTGGAGCATAACATTAGTAAATAGAACAGATATCAATTGCCATAGTATTAACAGTTGATTTAATAGGAACATCTCAGCTCTAAAATTGTGGTTTTAAATGCATCTTTATAAAAATAAAACTATATATAAACTTATATAGATCTCTTCTTATAATAATCGATTCTATTTTCTAATAGAAGTATTTCAATGTGTTGTGTTTATGCCAAGGCTTGCATGAAATAGAACATTCTAATCCAAATAACAGTGTTGTACTGAGAGTATTTAGTCACTTGCACTATTTTGCAGTGTCTGGAAGTTTGAGGTAAGTTGAAATTATCCATACATATGAGAACTAGCTTAGCTAACATTAACAATAATCAAAGAGTGAAAGTGACCTTAATTTCTGAAAAGCAAGGGCATATTTAATGGCTGACTCCCTATTAGCTAACTACCATCTTAAACCATTGGACAAGCAGCTCCAGACACAGAAAATACTTGGCATGGTTGAACAATTAATTATTATACTTAGGTGCAAAGCATTTGATGTTGCATATTTCCTTTATTTAAAGAGGTTTTTATTTCCAAGAAATGAAAAGACAAAGCTAGAAAGCATTCTCTTAAAATTCCACCCCAGTTAGCCATGTGAATGACTAAATAACCACATGCTATAGAGTAATTAAATCTGTTGTTTTTCCACAACCATTTAACACATGGAAAAGCAGAGAACAAGTGGCCCAAAACCAAGTTATTTTTTGCCATGACCATGTAGACATTTCAATGGTTTTACACTCTTTAGGCATCAACTGATGACAATTAAACATTTAGGTAAGTGTAGATTACTTAATTCTTAATCACCCCCATCGAAAATGGTTAAAAGGAATGCATTGAAGTTTTTTACAGATATGAGAAATTGCATTATGAGACCAACTGTGAAATGTTAATATACCAAAGTAAATTTAATATACTCCAAGAGGAATTTAAAATAAAGTCTCTATTTTTTTTCTCATCCTTGACACAAATTATAAAAATATGCTCTTTCAAATTGTTTTTGACAGGTTTCATACATATCTAATTTTTTTTTTTAGTCCACAAAAACAGTTTTATTAACCCAGTAAGTATACACCCAATCTCTTTGCACTCCCAAACCCCCCAAAAGAATGGTGCTGGGTAAGGGAGAAACCTGGGGAGGAAATGTCCTCTATCTCTAAACATAGAGGACTAAAGAGAGAAAGAGGGGCTGTGCAAATGGGTGTGTATTGGGGGGGGGGGGCTATTAGACCAGGATGGTAGGTGAAGAGGAAGAAGATAATGGCGAGGATGGGGAATCTGCTGAAGGCCCACAAAAAATGAGGGGGGCTGGAGCTAGAGAGCCAAAGGATGTGGGAAGTGTTTGGCCAGAGCCCAGAAGTGGGGTTCGTTCTGAGGCAGGGTGGTGGTTCCTTGGCTCCCCTTCCTCATCACCTTCTTGCCTTTGAATTTCTCTCTCCTGCTGCTCCTCCCCAGAACCCTGATGAACAGGCTGCTTGCAGATGGGACAGGTCTTTTGGGTCTGAGTGAGCCAGGGGTCCACACAGCGGCAGTGATAGGCATGAGCACAGGGAAGTATCCTCAGCTTGTCCCCATCCACATATTCATCCAAGCAAATGGCACAGACATCATGCTGGTCTCCATTGTGATAGTGGTGAATAGGAATCTGCTTTAGTTGTTCTTTGGTCAGTCGATTTTTCTGGATCTGTTTCTGCAGGTGGATGCAGCGAAGTATCATCACTGCTCCTGTCAAAATGAGCAGTCCCGCAACCCCTGTGACAGGAATGAGGTAATAGCCCAAGAGGTAGCTATCATCTGGGATCAGAAGCACCTGAGCCCCGTTCTGGTAGAGGAACAGGGCACGCAAGTACTCGGAGCTCTTCTGCCCAATAAATACAGATGGGATCCGGATCTGCTGCTGGATTGCCACACTATTCCACATCATGTTCAGCAGCTGATTGGAATTCACATTATGCACCACAGCTGCACCATATCCAGCCTTCTGAGCATTTAGGACCTTGAGGTCAAAGGTGCAGTCGAATCTTCTCAGCAGTGAAATAAAGACTGACCCGTTAACCAGGGATGGGGGTGGTGGGGCAATGGGGCTGCAGGCATTGGCTGGGTGAGCCTCCACAAGGAACCCCTGAAGTCCCTCCTGGCTCAAGGTCGACCCAAAGAGAGCTGGGAGGTCTGCAAAGTCCATTCTGGCACTGTGGCCCAAAGTTGCTCGAATGAGCCCCCAGATGGGGGCTGCTCCCCACAGCACAGTGGCTACAACCACAGGAAGTGGGCAGGTTGGAGGGAGCATGGCAGCGGGAGGGCGGGGAGAGGCCCAGGAGGCCGCTTCCCAGCAGCAGGAGCAGAAGGGGAGTTCTGCGCCCTCGCTGCCCTGCCTTCAGGATCCCAGGGGCCAGTCAGCTCCAGGTGCCGCTTCCCAGCTCCATAGGGGCACCAGGAAGGAATCCCGACTTGAGGAGTGAGCTATCCAACACGTTTAGTGGCTCTGTGACTGAGACACTTAAAAGGTCCCTTTTCCGGTACAGGGATTAAATGCGGAAAGAGAATGGGCCAGCACCGGTGACAGGAAAACTTCTGAAGGTGAGGAGCTGGAGAAAGCGGGCCTTCCCGCCAGGTGGACGTCTTCCCTCCGCCCTGGAAAACCCTTTCCGATGAAGAGAGGCCGCTTCCAGCAATGGACGCTCAAGATGAATGACTTCCGGTCCTCTCCCGGCTGGGTCACCGCCACCTCGCGGTCACCTTCAGGTCTCGCGAGAATGCTCACAGTCCCTCCCTCCCCGAGCTGCTCCCTCCGGGTCTGTTGCGAGAGCCCGAGGCCTCTGGGCAGCTTGGCTCATGTCGTCTGGTGTCCCAGCAAAACAAGTGGAAACTGTTTCTAGGTTATTCATTTTAATGTAGGTTTTTGTAGCAGATGAATCTACTCTAAGAATGCACACCAGGATCTACAAGTGTGAGTCCTTTGTTGCCCTACCTGCCAAACAAGTGTCTGAATTCTGAGATCATGCACAAATAAATGCCACCACGGTGATACAAATAAGAATTTAACATTTTAATCATTTTCTCCCAGTGATCCGATATAATCTTTTAAATTAGTAAGTGTCTATTTCTATTTCAAACGCAATATGGAGTTTGGAGTAAAACCTTATTTCTTCGCGAGGGCCAGTTACGCTGCCTGGTGTTTGGACCGTACATTTTTCTGTTGTAGAAGCCTAGAGGCTTTGTTGTCAGATTGGAGCCACGTGACCAAGGAAATAACCAGAATATGAAAGTGTGGGAATCATTTTCCTGTGGTCCCGTTTAGGACACAGAAAGTATCCATTAGTCTTAGAGTTTGTATTTCAAACAGCTACTCGCTTTCTCTTTAAGTATTACACCTAGAGGTCAAAACCTAGATTAGAAAAGGAAATTATAGACCACTTTAAATAAAGATGTAGCAGATTGGCCAAGTCAGAAATGGAAAGGTTTTATTCTGAGCACACTGCCCCAAATTGTCCCTGTAGACTTGGGTGGCCAGAATCTCACGTTACAGGATTATCTTGACATTTTTGTACATTGGTTCTATTTGTCAAAATATTCTTCCAGACTTGTTTATCTCTATTTTCCTGGATTTTCCAATGTGGGAGTGTAACAGGTTATTAAATTCCACCCTGCCTGCTTCAACATGATCCCTCTAAGGTCAAGCACAAAATAATAAGCTCCAAATACACATATATTTGAAGACTGATGCTAGTCTAAACCACTCCTGGATTTTCACAGCGATGTGGAGGCAAGGAGAGAGCAGTTCCCGATGTATCCTGCCAGCATTAGATAGTTGCTGACCTGAGCCTAAAAATATTGAAGAACTGGGAAGATTTCTTTAGAGTAAGTTGTCAGTAAGCTATACTGACCTCCACACACACCCATGGGGAAGCAAAGGTGGAGCTTCCCCTTGACCTCTAGCCAAGAGAAAGTGACTCAGAGAGACTTGTGAAAATGGAAGCCCAGAGTAAAGGGGGAGGAGTGCATTGGGTCAAGCTGAATTTCCACACCCAGAAAAGTTTCTCAGAGTCCAAACATGGGCCTTGCTATGGGGAACACTGAAAAGGGATCCCACAGAGGGTCTATCTGAAGGAGCAAAGAGACGTCAAAACAGAGGAGTAGTTATTGGGACCTGGGACTTGGGGACAGGGGAGGAGTCGCTAGTGGTCAGCCCAAAGCACTGAATTAGAGAAAATTAGTCCATTTGGGATTATTTACTGTGGCAGCAGGCACCCACACCAGACTACTACTGTACCAACAACCTGTGATTTTTCCCTTAGAAAGTCATGAGCAGAGGCTAACTAGAGCCAGAGGGGAGCAAAGACAAGAGAAGCCAGCAGAACACGTGACCCCCAAACTTTCAAAGCCTGATTTGGACCTGAGGTGGGGGATGAGAGAATATTTAATGGGTTTGGGTTTTTTTATTATATCAAACTACACTAGAAATACTCTGAATACTTTTGTGATTAAAGGCAGGCATGGATGGATCCAGGTATCTTTAGTGCTGGAGTTTGTCAATTTGGGAACCCTTTTCAAAAAAAAATACAGAATCATGGTTCCAAAATTAGGAACAGAGCCTTGGGGGACCCTGAAACACCCTCCCAGTTCAGGGGAGCAAAACCTTCTCCTCCAACTCTATTGACTAGTGCAACGATTCTGTTTCAAAAATAAAATTGCTGTAGAGAAAATATTTACCAAAAACCTAATCAATCCACCAAGAGTCTATAGTCAACTATTTAATTTTATGTACATAAATTTATATTAAATATATGTTTAATATATACACATATGTTATATATATATAATTTATATACATAAATTTTATAGAGATAATATCTATTATGTAATTATATATGTGTGTATAATTTTTAAATAATATTCTTAAATCAAATACAAATTTATTAGCTTAACTTGTTGAACCATCTTCATTTCATGGTTTGACATTCCAGATCTAATCCGACGGATAATTATCTCAATCCAGAACATTTAGCTTGTATGGCTATCAGAACTATCTGCCTTTGTCTGCTTGCTATTCTTCACCAGTTGACATAGTTAAAGATCTCCATAAGTTAAGCAGCTTCCTGACTCTATCTTTAACTTTCCCAAAAGAACACAAAGTTCGCCTCCCCTTTCTTCTTCGCTATTTAGTAACGGCCTTCTCACAAAACTTTATACAAAAGATGTTTGATGTGGAACGATAGAGCCCTTGATATGGTATCAGACTGTCTGGGGTCCTGTATACACCTGCAGATCCACATTGTGTCTTCCCAGTGAACAAAATTAGTCAATTCAATAGTGACAAATGAATGAAATTGTTGATTTACACAATGGTGGTTATACAGATTTTTCTCGATTTTCAACTTGTCTGTACTGCACACAGAGAGACATACAATTATTTCATTGTAACATAATTATCAATCAACTAGTAAGTTTCAAAAATGAATGACTTTTAAGAGTTAAAAAAAAAGATATTAAATGTGAAGTGTTCCGTCATCCCGTCTGCCTATACACTCTACCATCTTTTGTTGTAGGTTTACATTTCATCTTCACCATCACTCCTACCTTCCCCCACTTCATTCTTTTAGGTAGAATTCTGCAGTTCCCAGCTTGTAGGAGATCATTTACATTTAGGCAATTGTCTAGCCCCTGTGTACCATCCATTCAAGGACCTATCATCAGCAAAAGGGCCTCCACGTTTGGGCATTAAACCTGTTCACAAAATGGTTTATGGCATTACATGTTCCTGGTGATGGTGCTGAAGCAAATCATGAGTCTTATATTGCTGCATTGGTCATAAAACTTTGTATATTTGCATAACTTGTTTCTAAACTTCTTCAACATTTCTATTCAAAATCCCCTTCCTACTGAGAACTTCACATGTCACCACTCCCTCCAACAGACATTGTAAAATATCATTGCTTTTGGCTCTTATCATTTATAACTGACATATTCTATATTTTACATATATATATATATATATATATATATATATATATATATATATGCTCCTAGCGGGAACCAAATCCAGGACTCTCTGGTCCACAGGCCAACGCTCCAACTGCTGATCCAAACCAGCCAGGACTATTGTTTCTTTTTATTTGTCTGTTACCCCCTTTAGAATGAATGACAAAGGATCATAAATGCAGAAACTACTTTTTTGTTTTATCCACTGATGTATTCTCATCATTCATTAGGCTGCTTAACAGGTTGTGAACATTCAATAAATATCAATTGCTATTCATTGGGTATCAATTGGAATTGAGATGGGAATGGGGATAGAAATTTGTTTGGGGGTTGAAGAGTGAGGGATAAGGAAAGTGGTTTATGAGCAGCCAAAGAAGTAGAGACAGTAGTAGAGAAAGAAGCAAAGAAGAGGATGTTAAGATGTGTTACTACAGCTTCCAAAGTAGTTCCCCTCCAACATTTTTAATAACATAAATTTCATTTCTTTTAATTAGTTTTTATGACTGGACTGTTTCTGTTAATGTGATCTATGAAAACAGTCTACCATTTAAGACCAGGTTTTTTTCTTTATTCTGTTTTTATTTATTTTACAGAGACAGAAAGGGCAAGGAAAAGAAAAAGAGAGATATATTTTTGTGAGAGAGGAACCAATTGGTTGCCTCCCATACATATCCAGAATGAAGGATCAAACTTGAAACCTGAGTATGTGCTATAATAAATAATCAAACAGGGAATTTTTGAGTGCATGGGACTAGACTCAACCATTTGAGCTACACCAGCCAGGACAAATCAGGTTTTTGAATTAGATAAAATCTAATTTTAAAAGTTTACTGTTGTGTATTAAAAATCATTTTTATCATTAAAAGATATATAAAATTATTTTTACTGCTAAGCTTAATTCTTTTTTACTTCTATGCAAACTTAACTCAGATTTCAACTTCTTTACTAGCTTCTGTAAGAAATCCAGTTGCACCCAGAATTGGGAATTTGGATAAAATTATTGAAGGTTCATTTCAAAGGGATCCCTAGGATTACATTAAAAAGAAAACTTCATTCAACTATCTCATATTCCAGGTGCATGGTTTCTATTCCCCAGCCTTTGGCAGTCCTTTCCAGCCATGCCCCCTGTAATACCGCACCTGCTTCCTTCTCTCATTCCCTCCTTTAGATGACAAGAAGCCCTCTTCTTCCCCTGAAACCTGGACATAGCATCACTTAATTTATTTATTTAATTTATTTATTTATTTTTGTTACAGATGTTTCTCCCCCCCCCACACTGATAGT